CAAAAAAAAAAAAAATATATATGTTTCCATACACAATGAGTTTCTAAACACTTAAAAGATATAAGAAGAAAGATTATAAGTTTTGGTTGATTCATCAGTAGTCTCTTTGGAGCACTGGAGGTCCTATGAGAAGGCCAAAGCTCGTATGCATCAAGGCCACAAAAGTTCGGGATTGTGTTGAGGGCAGGCATAATCAGGTAACTCTTTTAATCAAGTATTCTTATGTTTGTCTTGTTAAAACTTGTTATCCAAAGTTAAAATCAATACAAAACTAAATTGTTCTATAATACAATTAGACAGACAAAATTTTAGTCAGAACCTAAATAGTGGTAACATGAATTAGTGAAGCGAAGTGTACGAAAAAAGCGAAGCGATGAGAAGGTTGTAACATATGCTCGACCAAAGGGAGAGGTGTGTCTTTGCAAATTATTGAACCATTAATGGATGTTAATCAAAGTCGAAAATGAAAATAAAAATATTCCGAGACGAAATAAACTTAGACATTGAACATATTATAAAAGAAATTATTTACCCTATAACAATAGACCTAGAAATAAGAAAAAAACTAAATTAGATAGTCAAAATTAAATAATGGAGAGCGCATACCAAATTACAGAAAATATAGAAGAATAATATTTTACGTATCAGACATACTATTAGACAAAAAACTACTAAAAAAAGTAAAAAATGAAGGAAATTTAGATTTAGAGAAGAAAAAATGAATAAATAATGGTCTACTAAAAAAATTAAATAGAAAAAATATAATACATTACGGAATAATGAATGGAGAACAACCAATCAGAATAGAACAAGCAAATTATAATTTTCAAACACCCTTAGTAGAAATAAATCAAATAGAAAAAATATTAGAAAAAAAAAAGATAGGAAAAAATAAGTTATATACACATAAACACAATACAAATAGTATTACGATCAACATTTAGAGACGAAATAAAGACACCCGTTAATATAAAAGTTGAAGATAATAGAATTATCCATAAAGAATCAAGAAAGTTTGGAAAAATAGAAGGAGATTTAGGGTATAGAGTAATTAAGTTTAATATATCATTACAATTTCATATACCATTATCGACGAAGAAAATTAATAATTGCATAGCAATAATGTGTAATTTTCAATAATAATCATCAATGAAATCAGGAGATATACCTATAGTTGTTTGTTATAGAACAACATATGCATTAATAGTAGTTTAAGTATGAATTAACAAAATCAAGAAATATACAGAAAAAATATTCAATGAAACCAGTACTATTATTAAAAAGATAGAATCAAAAAAAGAATTTTTAAGAGAACATAGTAAGCGATCTTTTAGTGATTCGACAAATTTAGGAAAACTAACTGAAAAGAATTTATTAAAAATTCAAAAAAATGAAGAACCTCATAGTAGCAGTAGTTTATATACAAGGGACATAGAAATAGAAAAATTGAATAATCAAGTAAATGAGTTAAGCTCATTAGTAATTTTAAATAACAAAATCTAGAATTTATAATAATAGATATGAGAGATATAAATCTTGAATTATATGAAATAGAAAGAAAGGGAATTGAAGAAATATAATAGAAAAGACATATAAATATAAACATATATAAAAAAGACGAACAAAAATAAAATAAATAAATAAATTATAATAAACAAAGTTATATACAAAAGTTTAAAAAGTTAGTAAAAATAGGACCGCCTAAAAAAATAAAACAAAGAATGGTATCAGAGCAAGACAATGATTTGAAAAAAAAAAATGAGTACAAGAAAAATATATCTTAATATAAATTAAGAAATACAAAATATTAAAATCGATATAATAAGGTATACTTATTTACATGAAATTACAAATTCAGAATTTTATTATGAAATGACGATGAAAAATGAAGAAAAAATAAAAAAAATTAATAAAAATACAAAAACAAGTAACAATTACATCAAAAGCATATAACAATCTCATAAAATAGCATATAGCAAAAACGCTACACCCACTTGGACGAGTACGGGGTGCCTGCTGTGTATTTTTACACTGCACCTGCAGTGCACCCCTCTCCACCCTTGGATCATGTTAACCAAGGGTGGAGACGGGTGCACTGCAGGTGCAGTCACAGCAGCACCCCCCATCACACTTGGACAGCCCACATGGACAGCATCTTTTTTTTTTTTTTTTGTCCAACGATAGAATTTTATAAATAAGACATAATGACAACACAAAGATCGACCAAAGCAGCCGAAGTGAGAAGACATTCCAAAGGTAACCTAAATATCGCGACTCACCCACAAGAAACAAAGAAAATACAAACCTCCCACACGGTAGAACAGGACTCCCACAACTGGAGAACAAAATTCCTAACAGGAGAACACCCTACAACATAGAAAAACACCACAACGAAAACACACAAAACAAGAATACCACAAATAAAAAACACACCTAATATTAGACCATACTAAAGCCCTCCTCCACGGCAGGCTAATAGAACTTTGATTCTTCAGTCCCCCCAACAAGCCAATATCCTATTTCTTATTATTTCTCTGTCTCTCTCTCTCTCAAATTTCTTGCATTTTAAGCTATGGGAGAAGAAAGGAAGGTTTCCGCTCAACCGCATTTTCCTCAATCACAGTGACAACAAACTCTCTCAGGCTATTGCGGTCAAACCAAAGGTAGTATTCACTCTTAATATCCTCCGCAGCGACAAAATCTGCCCATCCTTCATCAAACGCTATCCACTCACCATTCCCTCTTATTGTTACCTCATATGTACGTCCTTCTCTTGTAGTTAGCGTACATTGGAGAGGTACAAGGAGCATGTACTCATGGACAAGACCCAACGGCAGCCTCTGTAATGTATTCAAAACATACATTAATGACCTACAGAATTCTATATACAATTTAGTCTCAACTTCAAGCAACAACATCATGAAAATAATTCATTTTATGATGTATTACCATTGTTCGACTGCCCGGATTAGAAATAACCGTGAAAAATCGTTTCAGAGGAGCAGGCATGATCGCTCACCTGTGCGCTAAATACATGAATACATTATTTGTAAAAAAAATAACAAAAAACAAAACAGAAAAAACAAAAAACTCCAGTACAACACATTATAATTCTGCAAGTGAAAAATATATTTATAGACATACACATTACTAAAAAACAAAATAAAATAAAAAAAAAAAAAATCATCACTTTGAAGCCTACAATAAGAAAAAACAGATACTCAGTTCAGAAGGAAGAAAAAAAATTTAAAAAAACAAAAATTCTTCAAAAAGCAATATTTACTTTAAACTGCCCCCTTCCCATTAATAAAAAAGCCAAAAATCATAAATAAATAAAATAAAAAATAAAAAACCCTTCTTGCAGTTCTGTTTTCAATCATTTTTACTTTATTGTCAATACAATTTGATTCATATATTTTTCAATCCTAAATTTAATGGAATACTGCAATTAATATAAACCCACCCAAAATATATAACAACTTTTAGGAAAATACTACAGTCTCGTTACGGTACCATTATCTGGTCGTCTGTTTTAACCGTTGAATCCACATATAGTTAGATAAGATAGATGATCCAACGGTTAGAACACCAGACGGGATGTACCGTAACGGCCGTAGCATTTCCCCAAATTTCCAAGTACAAAGTTAACGGCAACTACACTCGCTATTCAAACTTCAAACAAAAAAGAAGAATAATTACTCGTAAATAACTAGAGAAAAAACGAGTAGAACCCTTATGATATGAAGTACCTTTGCTAACAAAATTAGAAGATAAATCCTTTCTGCTCTCCTTCCCTCTGCGATAGGCAGAAAAGGGGGACTGAGGGGCGGAGTCTTCAAAGAGAAAAAGGCAGATGTACAAAAAGAGACGAAATAAAACATTTATGAAGAGTACATACAAATATTAATTAATGCGTTTTTTTTTTTTTCATTTTCAATACTATCTATATATATATATATATAATTTTCCCTCTATTTTCAGTTACAAAATTTATTATTAATATTTTTTACTTCTCACATTAGTACACCCTATTGATTGTAATGATGTATGTTTCTATTATATTATATAAAATTATTGTTAATACCAACTAATAATAATTCACATTAAACATAAATTACATAATTATAAACAATTTTTTAAAGTTACCTAATTATATTATTTATTTTAACATCAATGTTATCTTTTTCTTTTGTATCTCATGATTTTTTCTTTAAAAACAATTAGTAAATTGTTTTAATGGCTTAGTCAAACAACCTTAGAATCTCATAAACAAATATTTTTTAATAATAATAATAATAATAATAATAATAATAATAATATATAATTGGTGGCTCATGAGCATTTAATAAAATCTATTAAAGCATACATATGTGGCAATATAATTATTTTCCTCCAAAAATTATTACTTTTTATATATTTAACCACTCATTTATTATTAGATAATTAACACACTAATCACTTCAAAATTACAAAAATCATTTTACATTTTTTATTTACTTACAACTGACCATATAATGTGTTGACTATTTAACGTGATTAGATATTATTGTGGTTATATTTAAATTAACTTCTTTTTTTTCGAAACGATAGAAATGTTATAAATAAAAAAAGCACAAATGTGCAAATACACAGCAGCCAACGGCTGAATACACAGTAGCCAACAGCTGAATAAAAAAGAGAGGACAAGTCATTAGATCGCCGAGATCCGACCGCCTAGATCCGACCCCAACAGGGTAATAAAAAACACAAAATACAACACAACACAGAGACCCCAACAGGGTAATACCCGAGTATCGGACCCCAACAGGGTAATAAAATGACACTCGGGTTCACAGAGACCAACGCCCAGACTTAAAAAACACGACTAAAAACAACAAACAAAACTACAAGACCTACAACAAAAACACGACAAAACTAAACAACATGAACTAAACGAACCCTTCCTAAGCCACAACAGCAAACCATAACCAGCGGAACCAAGTCGACCACAAATTCCGAAGCCAAAAGCACCGACCCGAAACTGCCAAAACCACTCGGTTGCCTAACGGAGCCGAAACCTCCAACCCGAAACCGCATCTGTCCGACCCGCACCACGCCATAGCACCCAAATGCCCTGAACGAACAAAAGGAAGCCACGACCCAGCCCCGGCCCCAATCGCCTGGAAGCACCCCAGCAACCACCACACCACCGCAGCTTGACATTACGGTCCCCATCCACTCGAAACCGAGTACAACAGGAATGAAATTAACTTCTTTAGAAAAAAAAATGTAAAAAAAAAAAAAAATGTATTTGAAATTCCTACATAAATAATAAATAATTCACAAAAAAAAAATACATACCAAAATATACATTACATCCAATATGAGAAACACAATTTAAAAAACTAAATATTTCAGCTCATCTAATTATAAATTTGGCAAAAATTATTAACCATTATATGGATACGAATAACTCACAATACTTTATTTATATATCTGTGCAAATGCACAGATCGAATACTAGTTTCACTTAAAGAAGTACTAAATTTGATATTAAATTAACCGAAAATTAAACGATTTTATATTAATTATTCGGTACAAATTGTATCGTGCACAAAATGTTCTCTAAAGCTTTATAGTATTCATTATTCAAATATTTTATAAATTGAATTATTTTTCCACAAATTTCATTACAGACTATATTTTATTTCTGCATTTTTTTTTTAATAAATATTATGTAAATAGTCTTTTATCTTTTATTATAAAAATAGGTTTAGCACTTTTGTATTAGGAATAACACTTCTTGTACTATTAGGGTTTTAATCCCTCTCATATAAATAGCTCCCACATGTACAGTAACATCATTTTTTACATCTTCAGCAATAATATTTTCTCTCTCTTCTCGTCTTCTCCATACGTTCTCTATGCTTTGATTCTGATCTTGTTATGGTATCAGTCGCCGGCTGATCGCCGATCTTGTATCAATTTTCCGCTGCATATACTGTTTCTCATCTTTGAATCTCTCGATTGTTTGGTCGATATCAAGATCAAACTTCTCTCATCGATTTTTTTTGTTGATTATCACCAGATCTATCGATCCTTTTATCTGTTCATCTCCCATCGATTTGGTAACAATTGAATCTCATCGACTTTGATCTGTTCTATATCTCACAGATT